AAAAAAAAGAAGCAGAATGACAATTAAAAAAAAACAAAAGCAACACAGAACAGCAAAATCGAAGCAGCAACAGAATCAACAAAAAAAAAATAGAAGCAGAATGAGCTAAAAAAAAACAGAAGCACAATGATCATGACAGGAGCAGAATCAATTGTAAACAATTTCATATGTAATTATATACTGAATAAAAAAAAGCAGAACAGAGGCACATTTCACATGTACTAAAATAATTAAACATGGTATAAGCATAGACCACTTTTTGGTACCATTTGTATATATATAAGAAAAGGGAAAAGTATAACCAAGACATATCAGAGACACTTCTTTGTAGAAGAATTTATTATTTACCCCCATTTCTGATACTCCTGCTTTATTTTTTTATCATAATTGTCATGCAGTGTAGTCGCCTGACTCCCACATCCCACAAATATTCTAAATGAATTCAGCAACACAAGGAAAAAAAAGGAATGTGTTTTGTTCGAAACATTGTTTATTAGAAAAAAAAAAAAAATAGACCAGCAATAGTCTAAAAAAAAAGTCATAGTGATTAAAAAATAAAAGAGACTACTAACCTGTAATCAGAAAAAAAAAAAAAAAAAGTGAAGCAGAATCGCTTTTTATAATAAAGCGTTCGCTTTTTCGCTTTTTTCGCTTCTTCGCTTTTTCGTTTTTTCTCGCTTCGCTCACGTTCGCTTCGCCTGGGGTCCTCCAGGCGAGATAAGCTCGCCTCGCCTAGCTTCTCGCCTAGGCGAGCTTTTCAAAACACTGCTGTGACTGGATGGGAAAATGGAAATTTTTTTAGGAGTCCTAAGTTAGTGACCACCTGACGCTTACATTTTTCATTACTAGGACTTTTGGTTGAATTATAAAGTTCAAGTATATTCTTATCACTAAACTTCCTTGTATCTTGGTGGTTGTGGATCTTAAATCCTCACCTAAGGTGAGGGGTTCAAGGGTTGGTAGAGAGAAGAATTTGAGGTATTCTAACATACCTCTCCTTTATTCTCCTCTTCCAAATTAGGCCAATTTTGAGTTTATTGAAGGGGTATTGGGATGGGGATAAATACTACTGAAAGCGACTCGATGAGGTATCCTTGGTTTAATTGGCTGGCTGTCCAGTTGAATTTCTTGCAAGAATGGTCACTATTACAAAAAAAAAGACTATATTCTCTCAAGAAACCCTATTTATGGTATATGATGGGTTTTCCTTCCTTTTATTGAGATTTGATTGTTGACAGGACTTCTTAAGTTTCAGTTTTCCCCCTTTTTTGTTTTTTTGAGAGGGCGGGGGGGAAGAGAGAGAGTTTAACGACATTATATTTATGTTGATGTGTGCTAATTTTGTTTGTTGTTTACACCTTTCCATTTGAGTGTGCTATAAAAATGATATCATAAAGCACCTGGTTCGTGTTAGAGCATTTATCTCAAAACCAATTGTTAAGGAGTAGAGAGGTCCTTCGAGCATATAAACCAACTCCAGGTGATCCTAAACATTTGATGTGAGATCCAAGTTATCTCTAAACCCTCCCTCATGTAGGGCCCGGGTCACATGTGGGGCTAACAAACAAACATGCATTCTTGAAAATGCAAATGGGTAAGAGACGTCACTCACTCACTACCTGAGGCCCAGCTCCGGTACCATATTAGTGTATCCAACTCAAAACCAATTACAATTAGTAGAGTAACCTTTCAAATATATAAACTAACTTTGGGTGGTTCTAATCTTCTGATGTGGGATACAAGATCTCTTCAGCCCCATTAACAATTTTGTCCCCTTGGCACCTTTGGGGTCTTATTTTCTCTGTTTTAACCTTTTTTATTGGTTAACTAACTCTCTCTCACGTACTCACTTGCATGCATGCATCTATGCATTCAAGGCTGCACAAATTAATTGTGTACTGCAAAAATAATTAAAACTGAGATCCATTAAATGCAAACTTGAGAAGTTTGTTGTTTCCTTTCAATTCTGTATGTGCTCTGTATGACCACCTATGCTTTAAACTAGATCCTCATTTCATGCTTTGTCAATTTGGTTTGGGTGTAACATAATTGTGCCAACTGCTTATACAATCCGTAAATAAATTACACACATCTTTCTCTGAATGTATAAAACATAGATGAAGAATCATGGTTGCTGGAATATCTTGCTGCATGATTTGCATCTAATTGCATCCGCAAATTTTTTTGAATCCCAATGCATACTTGTAGACTTCAGATCCATGTGGCTATGCTGTAAAAAATTAAGTTGTGTTACTTGGCAATAAAGCTGTAGATGATTATAGTCCTTATACTGCATGAAAATTAGCTTGTGGTTTGTGACTTAGGGTAGTTTGTCAAGAATAAAACAGAATGGTCCGGTGGTTAGGAAGTTTGGTTCTGCCATTTATAATTTGTCACTCCAAATAAATTGATTTTATGTGTTCATCACTAGTTGGTGTCAAACAATTTTTGGGGCAGTGAACACACCTGTGACTCTTTTCCCTTTTTTTGATCTGTGTTACAACTAGATTCCGATGATTACTTGAGGCTTTATGCATGCTGCCCATATAAATCTATTAGGTGTTTAGAGTAACCAATATCTCAATTTCCGAGTAAAGGAAGTAGCTTCAGGAGGATATGAGTCTTCGGGTTGCAAATTTCTGAAATCACCCTTCCATCCTGTAGGTCGATATATACCCCTTAAAGATTCATTTGACTGAGACAATGTACAGGATGATGTGGGAGTATTTCTTCCCAGAAGAAGAGCAAGACTCCCAACGGCGGCAGGTTAGTTTTTAGTGCTGATATTTGAGAAGTCTAGTTTACTGTTTCAGCTGCGCAAGCTACAACATTACCTCTTGATTTATAGGAAGTTTGGAAGGTTTCAACAACTGCTAGCTCAAGACGAGTAAGGAAAGGTTCATCTATGCATGAAGCTTCTGCAGCAAGCAGTCACCCTATTAAAGAAGGTGATACCTCCTCCAAATCAAGTGCCGCTGCAGTAAATTCTATGTCTGGAGCCAGTCAGTCCTCAGTCCATGCTGATTCCTCCCAAGTGAGTTTCCCATGGCCCTTGTACTTGTAAAATATTCTGCCTACCTGAATTAGGCAGTCCAGATTTGGCCAGGAATAGATAAGTATTTTTAGGGAGTGTGATTGTTTAATGCCTATTAAAGGTTTCTGTGTAAGCATGATGTTCAGAATCTTTACAGATTTCATTTGGCAGTGCAAGGGTAGTTACATGTATCAACACAGCATTTTTGAATGTGTGCAGGCATCAAAGTTGCAGAACCTAAAAGCAAATATTGTCTGTGGTTCAACTCCTGAACTAAGACGAACATCATCTTTCGATAGAACATGGGAAGAAACTGTGGCAGAATCTGTGGCTACTGAACTTGTATTACAGGTTCACTCTTCGAGTATGTCTTCATCAAAAAGTGGGCCTCTTGCTTCTGTGGAGCAACAAGATGAACCTACTAGAAACAAATCCAAAGAAATGAAAAATGTCAAATCTGGCCGTTCCTCTCATGAAGAGAAAAAGGTAGGGAAAACGCAGGATGAGAAAAGATCTAGGCCTCGAAAGAATAGGGAGTTTCACAATATCAAGATAAGTCAGGTTGGTTCAGTTCCATAGGATATTATAATCCTTTGTTCCTTTGCATAGCTGCATTTTTTTTCCGGATAGTATAGCATAATGGCATTGCCTTTTTCATTAATAAACTATGCATCATAATGGGATAGGTTGAGCTACTAGTTACTTACGAAGGATCAAGATTTGCTGTGAGCGAGCTAAGGTTGCTGATGGATACATTCCACCGTGTTGAATTCTCGGGAACATGGAGGAGATTGTTCTCACGAGTTAAGAAGCATATTATTTGGGGAGTGCTAAAGTCTGTCACTGGAATGCAGGTACGTAATCTTACACGGCATTCCTTATGCTTTATGATAAATATTATCTAGCACAACAGCCACATCTGTGAGTTTCATTAGGTTGAGCACTTTATATTTACAGCATATTCAACATGGTGGAACATGGGAATTAAAGATCCTTGATATTGTATTCAGTTGGCTGGGTATCGGAGGATACTAAAAGCCTCATCTCCTCGCTTTTACTTTATTTCGAAAATGTGGATAATTGCCCTCACCAAACACCAAAAATAAAAATGATGTTCCACTATAGGATTTGAAAGAGTTTCAGAAGCTTAGGGTTGTAGCATCTACAATTGGTTCGTGATAGGTTCTGGCTAGGAAAAGTTTATTAGTCAGAGTTATACTGGATAGAAAGAAGATTATATGATTTCGTGGATGGAATTGGGGTTAAAGCTGGCTTCTTCAGGTAAATTTTTGGTTGCAGGAATTTTAGAATTTTGGCTCTTGGAAATTCTAGCGGCAAGCAAATTCGGGTTTGGGGGTGTTAATTTGAAGGACAAAAATTAGGTAATGATTTCTGGGCTGATTAGTGCAAAGAATAGCCACACTGCTTTTCATGATTTTTGATTGCTAGCTCGAGTCTTTAACAGTGGGAAAGAATTAGGATTTTTGTATTAGGGTTTTTGGGATCAAAACGGGGGGTTAACAAGGACAAACAAACAAAGAAGAGGATGACGAGAATGAATGTAGATGGTAGCTCTAAAGGGAACCCTGGTTCGGCTGCTTTTGGAGGACTGCTAAGGAATGATCAAGGAAAGTGGCAGCTTGGCTCCTACGGGAAGTTAAGGACTCCAACTGCCTTCAAGCTGAACTATGGGCGATTTACCAAGGCCTCAAGATTATACAAACTCATAACCTAAAGAAGGGGATCATAGAAACTGACTCCCTGGATGCCCTCAACCTAATCACTGCTAGGTTGGAGGACTTCCACCCTGAAAGGAATATCATTGCCAATTGTAAGCACATAATGGGATCGACAAACACTCCCATTCTTCACACTCAGAGAGCAGGTAACTTCTGCGCTGACAAGATGGCTCGCCTGGGAGGGCTTCAACAGGATGCTTTTGTGTTTTTTGATGCCCCACCGCCTGTGTTGGGGCAATTTCTTTTGAATGATCTGTGATGTATCTCTTTTGCTAGAGGGTTCAAATAAACCCTTTTAGCTTTTCCTATGCACCAAAAAAAAAAAAACAAACAAACAAAGAAGAGGATGAAGAGAAAGAATTCAGGATATTTACTGGGAAAAAAAAAAGGATTCAGGAGTCAGACCTGGAATCTCCTGATCCCCTATCCCCCTCCCCCCTCCCCCCTCCCC